GTTCTGTTAAAAGCCCAGACAGGACAGAGATAAGCCTGATGTATTAGCAGAAAAAAAAAAGAATGCTTGGACACTGCTAGCATAATAGACAGGTTTTTGACAGGGCTCCCACACAAACGCAAAGCAGAAGATGAAGCATTGCCAAATATGCTTCCAAACCAAAGAGGAGAAGCCTTTGAGTACACCTGTACAATGGTGGGTAATGAGGAGAGGCTGCAGTGTGTTGTCTGTCTTAAAACTGCTACCTTGAGACAGTTTAAAGCCTAACAAGCGAAGATCCCACTTGGAGACAAAACATCTAGAGCACAAAGACAAGTCAGTTGTCTTTTTCAGACAAAAACTTGTGAATTGTCGTGCTCAACAGTGTCTATTTACTATTATTGTCTGTTCCGGACAATTCTCAGCTCAGCTTCAACAAAGTTGCCTACCAAGTGGCACAGTGTAAAAAAAAACCACACACACTATTGAGGAGTAATAAATACTTCGCTGTGCTATGGATATGGTTTCAACTATGACTGATGACACAACAGCCAGCAAACTACAGGCTATTTATGATATCTGAAAGGACACGGAGGAGCAGCTTAAGGTGTGTGACAGCCGCTTTGCTCTACAGATGGATGAAGGCACTGAGAGTAACAAACAGGAGGACTTTGTGGGGATCTGCAGACTAGACTAGCAAGCTATGGCTGGGAAATGAGGAAATGTGGACTCATTTGAATTTGAAATCATTCATTGACAACAACAAGCTGCAGAACACAGTGATCTCATGCATGAAAGAACACATGTCTGCCCTTCAGAAACATTTCTTGAGATATTTTCTGGTGCCGGATTTTAAAAAAAGGATGACTGGATCCGTGACCCCTTCAGTGCAACACCACTTGCTGGCTTCAACACATCTGAGGAGGAACAGTTCATTTATCTCACCTCTGATTCAACAAAGAGGATGCCGTTTAAGTCAAAGACACTGGCTGCATTTTGGATTGGAGTGGAGAAAGATTACCCACTTTGACCATACAGCTTCCTTTTGCAACATCCTACTTATGTGAGGTAGGCTTTATGCTGTGGCTTCAATCAAGACAAAATACAGATCAAAGCTGGGCATTGAATATGAACTCGGAGTAGCAGTCTTAACTGTTACCCATGTTTGAGAAGATCTGCAGCAACAAGCAGGTTCACACCAGTCACTGAAAAGAAAAATATTTAGCCCGTTTGTGAACCACTGCTTTACACTAAGCTTAAGGAATGCATCCCTCTGGACCATCTGGGTAATGAGCTACCAGAACTTTTTCTGTAAGTGGAGACATTTATTTCTTACAATTTCAGTCCAAAGAGTTGTGCTGACAGATTTCTTTCTTTGCTGCAACAGCTTTTCATTTATCATGTAGAAAAACAGTTAAATATTTAACTTCTTTACACTGACAGAAAGGGGAATGTATGTGGCCCATGATGTAAAAATGACTTTGACACCTCTGACATAGAGGTAACACATCTGTGAATGTTGTGGACAAAAATATATGGCACTTAAAAGAAATACAAATAGAATCTGAATTTGGGATTTTTGGTTTATTATCATCTGGTGTGGATTATTTCTGTTATGCTTTTGTTGAGTCAAATCGTTACCGGTAAAAACTATCTGGAGTATAGCTAGCTAACTCTGATGTGATGCCATCTTTTCACACAGACCTCGTACGGTTTGTAACCATCCCCACTTTGTTATCCTTCATCATAAATGCAGGTTTAGAGCATACATACATAGTATTATCTACAAATTTGGTAATTTAAGACACTGGTTGTCTCAGTCTTTTTTATTTTGTTGGCACAAACTGAAATCACTATATGATCACACTGCCAACGTATACAGCAGAATGCAAATGATAAAATGTGTTACACATAGTAAGGGGAAAGTATTGTGGGTAATCATCAGAGTAACAGAGGATTAACATAGAGACCTCACACTGCATCACCACAATAATTAACAATCCCAGTTTGTTATCCTTTGTCATCAATGCAAACACTAAATAAAGGAGCTGTTACTATAAAATGCTGCTCCAGTTCACCCATTTAGACAGCCCAAGAAGACATCACACAGAGGTCACACTACCAGTCTGTGATAAGGCCAGAAGCTTATTTAGTAGGCAAGCTTCAGAAAAATCAGTGAGGAGGCATAAGGAGAGAGCAACAGTCTGTGGTCACCACCTGTAAAACCATTCACTTTCTGGGTTTTGTATCATTATTGTCTCACCAGAATCACGGCCCCTTAAGGCGACTGTTGTGATTTATATAAATAAAACTTAAACGAAATAGAATTCATCAACCATCCATCAAATGCAGCTACCACTATCACTGTATTTTAAACGACATTTTTTTTCTGCCAGCTGAAAGAAACCAAGCAAAAATAACCCCAGCAAGTAAAATATTTTTGCCTGACCCTTGGGGCCTCCGCACTCCATAAGGCATTAGTTTTGGATAAGATGAAAAAGAAGAACAAGAAGAAGAAGAACTGAGGAGAATTCTTTCGGTGCAGATAGAGGACGTGCATATCGCAACATAACAGGTCATTCAAATATATAACATATAACGCTTCTCTATTTTGCTATTTAAAATCCGTTCATTCATATCATATCATATCATACAACTGACGTGCAAACTCGGCAAGCAAGACTATCATTAGCGTGGATGCTATCAGCCTCGACATTAACTCCCACACTGAGAGCTAAGAACCGTTTTATTTCGGCATGATGAATCTTAAACAGCTCAATGCACAGCCTGCTTGGATGAGCGTTTATCCTCATCCTTGCAGTACTAGGCTAGGTTAGCTAGGGCTTGCTAGCTCGATGAGTGAACGTTATTATAGTTTATGGACACTTTTTTCCATTTACGCTCCACTTTGCTGTAACCTTATGTACAGCTTTCGTGGTGCTTATTGTCTTAAACGTATAATAATAATCGGGCGACTGCATATTATATATTTCGGGCGTAGGTAAATGGCCACACTGCTAGGTACTGCCAGCTGATGCTATCCAGCCCGCTACCTAACGGTACTGCAATAGGCCTTTCTTTCTACTAAGCTGCCTGCCTCATTACCAGCTGTATTTAAAGAGGAACTCGTCTTCAGTTCGCAGTTACATTAAAACCGACTGCCATGAATCACGTATATTGTATCACGCTTCGAAAAATCATATGTGTGATCTAAACTATAAGTCATATACTACGGCATCTTTACCTGGGTTAGAGATGTGAGGGCTGCCATCTTCCCTGTTGCTCCGGGAACGCACCCAACGTTCCTCTCCAAAACATGACCCCCCCGCCCCCTATTGGACAACGCCACGCTTCCCTGCATAAACGGAAGACAGTATTGAAGCTACACTTTGAAATTCTGCATTTATCGTTAACGTGAATTCCTCGACGTGTCACAAATATTTTACAACCAAAAGCACAGATTCGCCCTTTCTGTGTGTGTTTGCTGTTAAGTTTATCAATTCCGTTTCAAATTTTATCAGAAGAGGTCACATATGAGGTCATGTACAATCTGATGCCTGATTTATCTGCGATGAGCCTTTGTAGAGCTACGACGTAACCTACGGAAGTGATGCACTTGTGTTGGTGCATTACGCGTTAATTAACAGCTGATAGAGATAAATAACCAGACTTTTTCCCACCGGTGTCCGCGCTTTCTTATGGTAAGTTTGTTTTTTTGTTTGTTTCATTCTTTTAGGAGGCAAACACATTGTCTATCTAGTTTTTCTACTTCTTTGTAGATTCCCTCACGTCCATTGTTGCAGCTTAAGCACCCTCCTTCAAGAATATTTGTGACTTTTTATACTGATGCTAATACTAATTACAATAGTTGCGGGCTTCGTGGATCGACGTGTTACAGGACGTGTACGTGAAGTTAGCGTCGTACAGATCAGAGGGGTTTGCTGCCTGATTTCTGAGCTACATCGATCTACGGAAATCTACGTCGTTGTCACAAGAGTTACCCCTACTGGCAGTTAAGGAGAATGCCAGTTTAAGGTTCCCGCAGTCCAGCTTTGATCTGTATTTTGTCTTGATTGAAGCCACAGCAGAGGTCACAAGTAGGATGTGGCAAGAGGAACATGTATCAGCAGGGTTCTCTTACTTAGAAATATGTTATTAATAATAATGTATACTTTATTGAAATTAGTCCTCTGCATTTGACCCATTCACTCAGTGAAGCAGTGGGCAGCCACTAAGCAGGCGCACGGGGGAGCAGTGTGTAGGGACGGTACCTTGCTCAGGGGTACCTCAGTAGATTTGAACCCCTAACCCTTCCGATCATGGGGCGACCACTCTACCTTCTGAGCTATTCCTTGATAGATTAATCAGCAGATCAATCACAGAAAATATGCAATGCCTGCTTGCAGTAATATAGTACACACAAAAACAATATTGATGACAAAATATCACTATTCATTTTTTAAAAGCCATTTAATATACACAATGCATAAACAAAACAAAAAAACCCCATCACAACTACTTCTCAACTCGTACATTTAAGGTTGGTAGTAATTCTTATAGACCCGAAAAAGAAAACAACAGACAAATTAACACCAGAGAGATGCCACAATGGCAGTTTGATCAATCCTTAATTAATCCAAAGGCATGCCATAAATAAAACTCTTTTGCAAGGAACGAGCTAAGGAGCATTTGTCACAGCAAAATACAATTTCTCGCTCACATCGTTTATCCCATTAACAACACTACAGAACAGTCGTGTGTCTAAACACAAGCACACTGGATGCTGAAAAACGACTTAACATTCCCATTTCTTTTAGTCCACTTTTAAATGAACACTGTTTGTAAAATAAAATGTGGTGAAGTCTTTGACTGTAAGGCATGGAGGAACAGCAGCCTAACCCTTTTCCAGTTTCAAGATGCATAGAGGATGTGATATGAGAACACTGAACAGAAAATGATTGTTTAAAAGAAATTCATGGATTCTTTGTTTGCAAAAAGTTTCACATTTTCATTTTTTTTTCCTTTATGGTTACATGAATAGTAATGTAAGGTCCAATCTAACAAAACTGGTAAAAACAAACTAGCTAAAACCTCCTAGAAGTTTATTCTATGCTGAAAAAGCACATAAACATAGTTTTCCCTGTAAACTTAACACAGTACAAACCTAAAAAGGCTTTCTTGTTGTCTTGGTGAATGACAACAAACGTAGTTAAATGGGTAGTGAAGTTAACTGCTCTATTATATAAGACCAATGAATGCCTACAGTTTCTTATCATTTCTCCAACACAAATGTGAGAATGTCAAATTGAAACAGCAATCATTGAGAGTAAATAAAAAATAGGAGTCTCCCTTGGGTCAGCTGGGGAAAGTATCGTGTATATTTCTGTACTTTCAGGATTTGTCTGCTCTATGAATCATCCTTAAGTTTATTTTATTGACTGAAATTTATAAATTAATCCTTGCCCCTAATAATACATAAAGTAAAATATTACTTATCCAAACCATCAAGAAAAAATGTTACTAATAGATGCAGTTTGTACTAATAATGTAATGACACTAAAATAAAGTGACTCAATCACACCATCACAACAAACTGAAATAAAAAACACCTTTAAGTCAAAATGCAGGGCACAAGAGCAGACTCAGGGAGGAGCTACTAAAACCTCAAATACTTGGTGGAGAAGGAAGAGGAGAAGCAGCAACAGCAGACATCACTGTTTCTTTATTTGCCTTATTATCATTATTATCGACTGTCCCCAGAGCTTTCCTTAACAAGGCAACAACAGTTTAACTGCACTTGTGTGAGTGATTCATTCTGACTTAACAGGTGTCTTGTGGAAAAGGAGTTTCTCTAGCCCTAATTGCAGGGACTCTTTGTGACATTATCAGATGTGCATTTTCAATGCAACAGACCCAGTAAGTCAGTCATCAAAAAGACAAAACTTTGAGATAGTCTCGACTTGTAAAAGAGAGAGGACACTAACATTTCTACATTTAATTAAAATGTAAATGATCTCAATTAAAAACATTTTATCATTTCTCCTTTTTGGGGAACGGTTGAATAGGTGTCAACATTTCAACTATCCAGCTGTGAAATTCAGCCAGCTTTTACACATCTACATGGTCAGACACCAATAGAAGAATTTGCAAAGACTTTTTGCACGGACAAAAGAAGCAGCGGAAGTGACAGGATCCAATATGAGCTTTGATCTAAATCAATAGTAGCTTCCAAGCAGTGAGGTCAACAGTTTTAGTCAAATGTTCAGGGAACTCCAACATGTAGGTTCGCATGTTGAAAATGCATTTTTTCTCATTTATTATGTATTACCTTACTTTACACATGTACAGTAGTTTAACGTGTTCAACAGGCAGCCTGTGAGCTCACTGCAGAGGAAATCCTCTAACTTAAATCCTGCTGGCCTGTGATGTAGGCTGTTTGCAAATTTACTGGTGGGACTTCTGTCAGTGTGGTCACTCAATACAAGCATCAGCAGTAATGATGTAGTAGCAGTGAGGCAATGCTCAGTGGTAGCACCTATGATGATCATCATAGCTGAATGAAGAGTAGGCAGCGCAACTAACTTTGAACACCATGTCATCATTGTCATCATCATCATCATCGTCATTTAATGGCCACAGTCCCATGGTGTGAAAAGAAATATCCCCTTCCTCTCCTGCCCTTGTTTCTCCCTGGCAGACTTGCAGTGGTGTCATCCACTCTGCAGCCCTCTGTTGAGCAGTGATGAGCCCGGTGATGCGGGCTTACTCATCGTCCCATGTTTGCTGTAGCAGGAAGTTAGCAGCTAGATTCTCATTCTTCTCACAAGCAAAGTACGCCTGGATGACTAAACCTTCAGGGAATCCCAGTGCTTTTAACTGGAAAACAATGTCATTTACATTTTCAGTCCTCCTTTCACCTTATGGACAATTCAACAAGACTAATAAATGTAAAAACACACCTACTATAAAACATTCATGCTCGTGTTCCTGCATTTATGCATTCATTTGTTGTTTGAAAAATTACATGAAGAAAAACTATTAAGTATACATAACTGCTTGACCAGAATATTGCAGAATACTGCCCTTCAAATTTGTATGTTTTCCAATGTGCATATTTAAGAATTTGTTTCATTAATGCTAACAGAAAAACATCAAGGATCCAGCAACATAATTTTCCATCACTGATGTCTCAACAAAAGTCATGGAAATTCAGTAGCAGGTTGTGTTCAGACTGATTTCCTTTCATATGTTTAAAAGAGAAAACTATTTGTTCCTAGGCTTGTGTAATTCTGCACAAATTGTGGAAATTTGGTGGAACTGACTGTGTCAATGTGACTGGCAAACTCACCCTCTCAATTGCCTCTTTCTCCTGTGGGGTGACCTGGATGTAGTTAGTGTGTGGTGACCCATGGGCATCAGCATCTTCTCCTCCTGTATCTCCAGCTTGTGGCTCATTCAGCATCTGTACAAAACGCTCCTGGTGCTCTGTGATTTGCTGCAAGTTACACAGTTGAACTGTATATCAACCACCCAGTTTAGGCAAACTACAGTGGACATGGTAAACAATTAGTATAGTCACTTGGGGGGATTTTACGTCAGAGAAATGTTTCCTGAAAAATACATTTACAGATTTATTTCTTTATTGTTCTTACTATTAGGAACAGTTCTTTGAGATACCTTAAACAGTCAAACAGAAATTATATTAACAGACCCTGACAGACGCCACTAGAGAACGGTGAGTTTTGTGGTGTGGTACCTGCAGCAGCTGTGGGTTGTCTCTCCCGAGCTGTTGCAGCAGGGCTGGCAGGAGGGCTGGGTTCTGCTGGATGATCTGTCTCATCTGCTGGAACTGAGGCTGGTTCCTCAGGAACTCCAGAGGGTTCCCTATGGAGCCAGATCCTCCTCCAGCAGTGACAGGCTGGCTGCTGGACACAGGCCCTGCTCAGGAGGGGACAAAATGTTAACTGTTGCTATTCAAGAAGAGATTACATTTTATAGGATACAATGTAAAGACAGTAAAACCAAACAGTGAAGTCTGTTCTGAGAGTGGCTTCATAGTTCTGTCTTGGTGCACAGTTTTGCTAAACCAGAAAGACTATCATGAGAATATTTTGTTACTGCTCAGTGACAAAAATACTTATGAAGCCCCGAAACGAGACCCAGGAAGTGGTTAGGAAGAGGTTGATAAGATTGTCTGAAGCAGTTGGAACAAGACAACCATAGCTGTGTAGCTAGCCACAATGTAGCACATTATTATATACCAGCTAGCCCAAATTCAATAACCCTACAAATGTCACGACTGTTTAGTTTTCTGTCTTCCTTTATGTCAAAAGTGATAGCAGAGCTGTACGTTTTAATTTTTCAGAAATCCCTCAATCAGAACATGATATATCATCTTTAAATGGAAACTAGCCAGCTAACTCCTTGCTAACTTCATAAATTCTGTTTTCGTGGATGTCTGGATGTCAAACTTAATTGTTTCACCTTGTAGAGCAGCCACACTGATCATATTATTAAAGATGAAATAATTTAAACAGTTTGTAACTCTCAGTGATGCCACAGTGTTCGTTTGACTTTGGGACCTGAAGCGGAGTTTGGACCCAGGAGCGGCTAATGACAACAGACTTAAAGACGGGATACCCAGGGGATGCTTCACCAAGTTTGTATGGTTTACATAAGACACATAAACAGGGTGTACCTTTAAGATCAATTTTCTGTATGATCAACTCAGTCATCTATAACAACTCAAAGTTTCTGGTTTCGATCCTTAACCCGTTGGTAGGCAGCTCTGAACACCACATCCAGAACACCTTGAATTTTGTTGAGAAGGTGAGAGACGTCATTATGGAGGCAGATAAAATAATAGTGTTGTACGATGTTACATCTCTCTTCACTTGTGTTCCAGTCACTGAAGCAGTGGCGGTAGTTTGCAAGAGATAACAGGATGACCCCAACCTGAGCAACAGGACCACTCTCAGCACCAACCAAGTCTGTGTGGTCTTGGATCTGAGTCTTAATTCCACCTATTTCACATACAAGACTCAGTACTACAGGCAGAAACATGTGTGTGCCTTGGCTTCCCCAGTTTCACCCATTGTCCCCAACTTGTACATGGAAGGGGAAAAGAGGGCTCTGTTATCCTACCCTGGAACACCTCCACGTCATTGATTATGTGGATGACACCTGGATGAAAATCAAATCTCAGGACGTACCACAATTCAATAATCACACGCGAACACATCAAATTCACCACGGAGGATATGACAGGCTAGCTGTGAGATTTCCATCTGTAATGGGGGGCATTTAAACGTTGATGTGTACCGTAAACCAATGTATACAGATCAGTATTTAAGGTTTGACTCTCATCATCCACAGGAGGCAAAACTTGGTGTTTTTCTACATGATAAAGAAAAAGTTGCTGTGAAAAGAAAGAAATCTGTCAGCATGACTCTTTTGACTTAAATTGGAAGAAATAAATGTGTAAACTTACAGAAAAAGTTCTGGTAGCTCATTGGCCAGACTGTCCAGTGTTTTGGTGTGGGGTTTAACTGTAGTCATAAAAAACAGAAATTTCTGTAGTAGAAAGTGAAAAACAGAAAGTTTTCTGTCATATAATTGTTTATTTCTTGATTCCTTTGTGTAGTATGAATGGTCATAAGGGAGATTTTTATCAATAGGAAAAACTGTAAAACTTATGGAAATACAGTTAAAGGTCCAATTTTATTAAACTCTTAAAAGTCCGGTTAAAAATCAAACAAGAAGAATTATAAATGGCTTCAAGTGTATATTCAGACCTGTGAGACTTCTTTAGACACTCAAAACACTGAGATATGGCTCTGTGGTACATGCAGACATCTCTGCATCAAAGACGCTTTGTATAAAGGACAAATTTGGTCAAGCGAAATCCCTTCTGGAGAAAAGTTTTATAGTCAGATCAGAAAAAAATATTTTGACACAATGGCAAGAGGAGTTGGAGGAGTAAAAGTGAGACTTTCACACCTAAGAACACTGTACCGACTGTCAAGCACGGTGGTGGTCTTACCATACTGTGGGAATGGTACTGGTACACAGCACAAAGTGGAAATAGTAAAAAAGTGAAATAATCTAAAAAAAGAAATACTTCCAAATTCTTCCTCTGATGATGTTGAAGTTCCACTAGTGATAAAACGTTAGTGGTGTGCAGAATTTTTGTGGACGTTGTGTAGCTTTAGACCACAGTTATTCCAGTTGTCATCTTGGCATCATTTCCGTGTCCCCAGGAAGTTCATGCGGAGGAAACAAGCTGCCTTGTTTAAAACAGAAAGTTAAAGAGAAGTAAAAATAAATAAATAAATTGGGCTCTTACTACTGGGGGGTGCTGGAGGCTGCTGTGGTGGTTCTTCTGTAGAAGGTGTAGAGGGGTTGGCTGGAATACTATGTCTACTTGGTTGTGGATTGTGCAGATCACTAGCCCTTGCTGGAATACCCTGCAACACATGAACAGTTACTGTATAGTTTACAATACAGCTCAGCATGATTATGAAGCTGGTTAAACTCTCACCATGAGCAAGTACTCCACTGCTCTGTCTGGGTTGTTGTAACTGGCTCTTAGTGCAGCAACAACTTGCTCCCGCTCATATCCTATCGACATAATCTCTGACACCAGGTTTTCATATGCTGGTCCAGTCACTGTGGTAACAACAAGAGAGGTTTTTATGGGCAGGAAAGTTGACCTGAACCTAGATGAAGTGCGCAGGTTGTTTTTGTGTTATTTGGCACAGTAGATATATCAATAGAACTAAATACAGAATAGTGATACTTGAAAGTCTGTAAATCTGTAAATTAAGAGTTTTCTACCTAAACAGTCCTAGGTCCTTCTTGAGTTATCGCATTTGCAAAATTTTCAGAAAACCTAACCTCTGGCCTTAATATTCAAACTTGTCCAAGATTTCTAGTACTTGAACCTATGGTATAAATTTACATATTTTAATTTGCCTATCTCTCCAGTTATTAATTTCACAAACTTGTGCGTCCACGCTGCCTTTTTGCGCCTCCTCTTGTCTCTATGCAGCCTCAAAGAGATACAACCTCAAATATACAAAAGGTGGGATGTAATTTAAAATGTAAAATTAAGTGGAAAACAATGATCTACTAATCTCAAAAACCCATATTAGGGCTGCACAAGTCATTGAATTTTAATCTCGACTTCAATATTTTGGTTTCTCACAGTAGAACAAACGTGATCAAGCAATACTAAAAATAAATGCTCCAATACCCCAGTGTTGTTTAGTTCACTGCAGAACACATTTAACTTATTCTAACCAATGAAAAGACAGACAGTGTAATTATTGTATGATGGCCAAGAAAAACAGTGCAGGGGTTGTTAACATGATCATCCAACAGCATCTATTAAAGTGAACCTGTACGTCACAATATCCACAAATATGCACTGAAATCACCAAGGCAATCACAAAAAGTCATATTCATTAAACATGGTGGGCAACAAAAGCTGTAGGAAAATGGTCAACATATTGAACGAAAGCTATGTTACCCATCTTTTCCAAAGTGGAAAAACCTCCCAATATTGTGGAAACGACTAACCGTTTTCATTCAGTGGTTGGTTTGGTTGTACAGATTATTGCCTATTATCTAAAAACTCAGAAATAATACTGGTCCCTCTTTGACCAGAATGGAGGCATTTGAGAAGGCTGCTTCTACTTATACATTGAAAAAGAACTGGAGTTTTGCCTCCTTTTTATGCAAAGTACACAGAACCATCAGCACTGTTTTTTTTTCTAATGGAATTATGTCATTCCAATTTAATCTTAGCTGTGGTACCAGGGAAGGTTTACTACCGTCACCATTAATATTTGACCTTTAACAACTGCTTTCAGTATGCTGACAACATTCTTCTAGCTTCGGTAATCTCCACACAGCAGCATCTGAGATCTCGTTTATTACTGATTCCAGGGTAGCTCAGGATATGCAGCACGTCACCCACTATGTATGGAAGGTTGGTGGTTTGATCTCTAGCTGCTCCGGTCTGCGTGCCAAATGTCCTTTGGGAAAATACTAAACCCTAAGCTGGTCTCCGATGCATCACAGTATGACTGTGTGTGAATGTTAGATAGAAAGCACTTACACAGGAAAACGTGCCTGTGTGAATGGGTGAACCAGTTCATTTTCCATTTGATCCATTCTATGAAACTTCTGGTTGCATGATTAATTGGACTGTGTCAGAGGTCATGCCACTACCAGCGCAGTACAAATGTATGTCATCAAGTGTGACATCAGTTAACCAGGTTTATTAAAAAAATATGCAAACCAAAATTCCCACTGTTATTCAGGCTACTCAATCAGCCATTCAAAACTTGGCTAATATGCATACATCTCTGTTGGGTAAGATCAGTCAGGGCGGGATGGCTGTTCCTCCCACAATGCATCTTATTATATCTATATGTTAATCTGTAAAATACTAGTATAGAACTGTGTCGACAAAAAACAAAAACAAAAAAACAAGATTTTACTAAATAATTTTAAAATAGTTTATGTATGAGTAGCATTTATGGACCTTATCAAAGATATTGTCTGAAGAGGATGCTGATAACCCAACATAAAAAAAGACACACAAATGGATGAATGAGAAAGAAATTACAAGCCTGGGAGTGATGTCTTATCGTTTTGCTTTTTGTGATTAGTGACTTTGTTCTTTGGTTTACTATTAAAGATAGAAAACACTTTGAAGAACATATTTTTTAAAAAGAGAAAAAAGGAGCATTACATCTTTCCACCCGTTGTGATCATTTCTGATAAAACAGCAAACAGTGGACAGATCAACTGAAAGAACACCTCCATGATGTCAGGTCACCTAGATGATACAAACTTTCAGATACTGTTCATTTGCTGTAGAAAGTTTTTAGGACTGCAACTTCTGCTTTAGTTCTCCACTTTCCAGTGAGATATGAAACATTTTTGACTAAGAATACACGTTATTGGTGCAAAAATACTTGCATATGTTTCCAGTTTTACCATCTTTGGATTTTTTGTCTGTGGATCATCAGTTGAGTTATGACCCATAGGTCAGAGTTAAGAGACAAACAAAACGATCAGGACTTAAATTGAGTAAGAAAGTAGCCAATGTCCAAAGAAAAACAGTCTCACTCATTGGAAGCAAAACAGGAATAAATGAGAGGTAGCACCTGACTTTTGCACAGTACTGTACATCATAGGGGCTTTGGCTCAGGAACAGGTTGTCTGCTAATCAGGAGGTTGGTGGCTCGTTCGTATCTTGCCAAAGTATTGCAGTGGGCAAGATACATTTCCAGTCAAGCTTGGGGGAAAAAAATGCTGTCAACTACTGGCTAAAACTGAACTCCACTTATTTAGTCTGTATCTGTTTAAATGCTGAATTTTTCAATAGAAACTACTGTTCTAATTTCCTTACTATCTCCACGTATGCTGTAATATAGAAAATGTTTACTGTATCAGTCGCACTCTAATGATTAAAACAAAAAGCACCATATAATTAGTACATTAGTATTTTACTAGTTATGACAAAGAAAAGAATAATCACTGATAATTACCCAGTATTGATGCTGCTTCTTCAAGAAGACCCAGTTCATCAACGAGGCTGAGAGAGATGAACAAACAAATAAAACATGACATAAATGTTCATTCTAAAGAACCAGGATTTAGGATTTTAAGTGTTCCTTGCTCTATATTGAGGCACTATGATATAACTTAATGCTTATATGCACTACTCAGGTTCTCTTCCTGCATACGATGACTGTTTTTGTGAACTGCCACGAGATAAATCAAACTGAATTGAGTGCCAGTAATATACTAAAACTAAAAAAAGTAAATAACATACATCATGTTCAGTTCCTCACTACAGCCACAGCACTAACATGGCCAGAATGAATGAAACACTGATTAAACAATGAAAATGAATCCATATTCACCGTGTTCATCAAGGTTGTGTTGTTTTATGATCAACCTACAGCAGCACACTTATGCTTGAAGGAAAAAAACTGTCACTGCAATTACTACTCAGCTTCACTATACGAAGAAAAGTACTGGGCCACCTACGCATTACATCTAAAGTTGTAATTATCCATGCTCTCACACAAGGCACAAAATGACCTTGATTCTTTGAAGGTGACAAGACATGCAGAAAGTAATTAGAGCTTCTTCGATATATAACCATCTGAACTAGAATAATATGAGCTTACCTACCCATTTTACAACTTCTTATGATATTTCTTGATCAAACAATTAAACTGCCACAGTTTACATAAAACTATTATCCAACCTTGAAGCAGAGGACTGGACTGGTGCTGTGCCAGATGGTTCATTCTCTGGGTCTTCCCTCAGCTCTTCTTCTGACTGGGCAGCAGGGGTGGGGCTATCTGTAGGGACTAACTCAGGGGCTTCCTGTACAGCTTCAGGAGCTGTGGAAGAGGCAACAGTGGCTGTGGAACCAGAGGCCAGAGCTGATTCTGAGTGTGAGTCCAAGGTGGGTTTTGCTGTTGCACCAACAGAAGCCACAGTGGTGTTTTCTTGAACAGAGGGCGGGGCTTCCGAGGGAGGCACTGACTGTGAGGCAGGTACAGCAGCAGACATTGTGTGTGTTGGTGTGGAGGGCACCTGTTTTGGGCCAGAGGCTGGTGCTGGTGCTGCAGCTGAGGGTGGCACTGGAGTTGCAGCTGGCGTGGGAACTGAGTGAGTGACTGCTTCAGCAGGAGAGGTTGGTTTGGGCTAAAATGACATTTGAGAGCTGATTATTAGTGGTGTTGCTAAGATAGTCAAACAAACACACAGTTACACACATGTAACTAAAACAGAATCAGTTAGGATGCAACCCTGTTAAACTACCCCAAGAAACATTTCCATGTGAGCCCATAGTGGACAAGTGTGGATTAGCCCATGCCCATCATGGTGTTATCTAGGCAACGCAGAGTGGGCTTTCCCGTAGAAAACCCATATACTTCAAAGGGCAGAACTTCCCTTTATTTATAATAAGTAAATGACTACTATGGAGAAGATTAAACCATAGAACATTATTACACTTTCAGAAATATGACTCTGAGAGAAAGCGACTCATTGAATTCTAATATATTTGTAAGTTTGCTCACTTACAAAGAAATTAATTTTTGTGCCAATTTATTTTAAGTGTGAGAGACAGGATATTAAATATACATTAAAAAACATATTACATCAAAGTTATAAATTGTTGTGCATGTCATTGAGGGAAATAAATCTTTGATCTCCTACAACTGAGCCAGTATTCTGGCTCCCACGGATTGGTCACAGCCAATCAGTCAATTCGATCAACTACAGATACTCCTGCACTCAACTCAGTAAGTATATAAAGCACACCTGTCCACAGAATAACTTCTTTCCATTATAACCTCTCCACACCATGGATAAGACCAACGACCTCTTAAAGGACGTCACACAGAAGACTGTAGGCTTGGGAGAAAGTGCTGTGGTCAGACGGAACCAAAATCGATCTCTTTAGCGTTAACTTGACCCACTGTGGAGAAAGAGAGATGCTAGTGTGTGACCCAAAGAAAATCAGCCCACAGCCAAGCACAAAGGTATGTATTGTAAACTCTTGGATGAGAAGCCCCTCTACCAGAACACTGATGATGAGTGTTGACTTAGTATTATAGCATGACAATGACCCAAACCATACCACCAAGGCAACAAATGAGTGCCTAAAAAAGAAGCACGTTAAGATGAGGGATTGACTAGCCAGCCTCCAGACCTCAGTCCTAGAAGATGTGTGGAGGGAGCTGAAAGCTTTGTGTTGAGGCAAGCAGCAGGCAAGGAATCTACATGATTTAGAGAGTTTCTGTGAAGAGGAGTGGGACAAAATTCCACATATAACAACTGTCACCACTGTGCTCGCCAAGTTGGTCATGTTTTGCTCGGGGATCAAATACTTACTTTACTCAATGACATGCAAAGGAAATAATAACTTTTTTGTAATTTTTGCAGATATTAAAACTTCACTAGAAGAACCAAAGGTGTGAAAAAATGTATACCAATTAAATAGATTCAGGAAAAATGAACTAACAGAGGGTTAGTCGGACCACAGGCTTCTAACAGAGGCTTAGTGCCGAAATACAGGGATATGATAGCAGTATTGGTAATACATGGCAGGCAAAGAGTTAAACAGTAGTTTAAAAGTCTTCAGGAGAACTTTGTTGTGCACAACTTTAACTGGACAAGGATTGCAATAAATAACTGTGATAGTGTTAAGAATTGATGCTTAGTGTATAATAGTGTATTGATATCGTTTTTATGGAGGAAGTGCACAGAACCAATATAGTCACCCTGGCAGCCATCACAAGCTACAGTAAAACTGAGTAAATAAAAAAGCAACAAAGACACTAACCTTGGTAACCATGACCACCACAAAGTTCTTCTCATCGATTCTGTACTCTTTCAGTGGGATATCATCGTTTAAGATTTTGCCTGTGACATTCACACAGAAACAGCAAGTGACAAAAGATATGACAGAGTTATTGAACACTGACTATGAAACAGATTTATAGGCTGTGACCTTTACATGTAGGGTGTATAGAAAATATAAACGTAGCCAATGTGAAATCAATCAATGGTTTAGGAAGTCCCATCAAAAAGCTTTGAGCTGAGCATTTTCACTGTTGCTATTTCAGGGACATCACGCACTCATAGTGTGATCCATCAATCTCCAAGGCAAGCAACTGCAAGTGGCATCATCCTTCTTATATAATTTACGAAATGTTTTACGAAACAAAAAGTGTTATGCACTTCTACAATGGCTTCCCTTTTTAAAACTGCAAGATACACTTAAGTTTCTTTTAAAATTTTATTAACATGGTTATGAATATGTTATTAGGCACTTTTGCATTTCAAAACTCTGTTTCCTGCTTTCCTTGCATTTTGCTTATTTG